TCGCCATCAACAAAATGAGCAGTGAGACACATGTAACTCATATTTTGACAAGAAGTCCACGTGTCCGTTGTGAGACAAACCCTTGGAGATGTATCGAAAAAATATTTTTTCAATTTGCATCTTTCCTCCAAGTAAAACTTATAACAGTCCTCCCTCAATGTGTTCCTTGAGGGGATTGAAAACTTCGGCTGGATCCTACTCACGAATTGCCGAAATGCCTCATTTTCCACAAACTTAAAGGGTAATTCACCAATGATGAACATCGCTGCTAGGTCTTTTCGACTAGTTTCTTGGTCAAATTTCCATGGACCAAATGACCTAGAACTACCAACCCCATCAAGTTGACCTGAGACACTTTTTTGCCTTTTCTCAATGTTCGCATATGGAAATTCCTTACATCTACCTAAATGATTACGCATCGCACTAGTCCCTTGAGAGGTAGAACAACCAATAATAGCCCCGCAATATAAACATTCAGCTTTGTCTGGGTTTTCTGTCCTTTTATAGTGTTCCCACGCAGAAGATCTCGTCCTCCTCCTATTTGTGCCACTAGATTCACTCATTGAAGTAGACATCTACCAATCTATGACAATTAAAACCTGAAATAATTATAATTCAAGTGGCTGTGTCAAGTTAACAAACTTTGTATGACAAGCAAATACTTAATAGAAGGGGTGGCCATTAAAGTACCATAAAGAAAAGAAAAAAGATAAGGCGAATAACACCGCAACTCTCTGATTGGAACATTTCGAACAGAAGCAAAAAAGCGAAAGTTTAACCATGAATTCAGGAGACAAACTCTCATAATCGTCTTTGGATGCTTTACATTCAAGTGCCTCGATCGTGAGATGCCGACCTCGAGAAAATTAAACACGAACCCAGGAAACAAACCCTCATCTACGTCTTTGAACGTGCTTTAAACATGCGCCTCACTATGATACTCGCTAACCTCACTGCATCCTTCTCACCCCAAAAGGGGGTCACCGATACAACACTTGGGACTCAAAGACTCAAGAGTTGCGACCTGACAAACTAACCTCAAACAGAGTTCGCACAAATTAAACTAACACACTAGCACGACTTGATAACCGAACAAAAGCAAGGAAGCTCATGAGTGCATGAAATGCAAGGTAAAATTGTTGTGGGTAAGGTTTCAAGCCATGCAAACAATCCAAGAATTGAAGGGGGTAAATAATGATATATGAGGAAAGAAACTAAAAACTGGGGAAACAACAACTTATAGCCAAACAAAGCAAATGCAACCCTGCATTACCAAAAGATCCGAGCTAGACAACTTCCAACTTAAAGTCGTGCACAAGAAAAGCGTGAATTCACCGACTGGAACACAGTATATAAGAACAATCCATCATCCATAACGAAACATATGCAGCACAGGCAATGTCATTGAGGACTGGCAGATCCCCCCAAAAATGAAACTTCAACAGAAAATGTAGAACTTTAAATTTTCCCACTGCATATGCAGTACAATCAAATTCTTAGGCACCACATATAACCATGCAATTTTCATGATAGCAAAGGCCTTGACAAAAAGACCAGGACTAGCTAAGTCATAGCTAGAATATACCTCAACCCGTGGCTGTCCGGAAGCAGATTTGCTACAAGAAGGCTACCACCGCATGACCAGCTTCATGGCGTGCAACAACCGCATTCATGTAGCAACGCTCGGCGTATTAGGCCTCTAATCACTTGAGCCGCTCAAGTTGAACGTATGAAATTTAGACCATAACTTTTAGATGTCATTCAGCATTCTCGTGATCCACATGAATACAGGAGCTAGCTAACATGGTACAGACATACTCAGTAGTTCTCCATGTGGATTCTATCACCAAGCAGTAATCTTTAACAATTATGAGACATACACAAATAAAGCATCAGAAGATATCAAGCAATGCCCTGAGAATACAGGTGTGAAACAACAAACGGAAGTACAGTTCAAATACATGTAGAGCATTCAAACAACTGATACCTTTCCATTCATTAGGGATGCTGAAATATGTCCTGTAGCAACCGGTTGGATTTTCCAAAGGAACGTTTGGAGAATCAAGTGGAAATGGGTACTGAATATTTGTGTAAATAGGCCTGTCATATCCATGCATCTGCCAGTTGGAAGGAACTGCTCCAATTTGAACAAAAACAAGTGAGAAACATTTCATGAACCCACATGCTTTGCAGCTTTCATTTTGAACATTGAAAATTTCACTCAAACCTCAAACTCTGACAGGTACCTAATGAAACTCAGATAGACAAAGGTGCCTTTAACACAATTGAAGAGTACAACGCCCCCACCAAAACACCGAAGAGCAATTACAGTCAAAGGCCGACAATAGCTGAATTACTACTACACGAGGGAACGGCCCGCCTCGAACGCGCCGGAAATCAAATCGCACAGCACAACCACAGAGGATCATCAATACAAAAAAAAAAGAAAAAACCAAAAGAACACGCAGAATCACGACACGACCGCGCGCAATCTGCGAGAAATGGAGAGAGAACGCACGAATCGGCCCGTCCAACCGACCAATCCACATCTGAAGCCTCCAAATCCAACGCCCATGTTATATGTTAGAGCGAGAAACTCCACCGCGCTCCCGGAGCTCAAGAACGCAAAAAACAAGATTCCGACGGGAAAAAAAACGCGAGCAGAAACAGAGAACGACCCAAAACCCCACTCCTGGAAACAATCAGAGTTCACAGAGACGCGAGCGATGGGGTGGAGGGGGGCGGGGGGCGAATCGATCGGATACCTCGGCGGAACAGCCACGGACTTCTCGGAGGACGACCTTCTCGAGGCCATTGACGCCCTTGTAGTGCTTGACGTACACGGTTCGGTTCCGCGTTTAGGGTTCGAGAGAGATGAGTGTCGTCACCGGCAACAGCGGCGGCGGCGGTGGCGGCGGCGGCGGCGGCGGGGGCGGCGAGTCGATGGGGAGGAAGAAGAAGAAGAAGAGCAGGGACGGCGGCGAGAAGAAGGGTGTGGAGGGCCGTGAGGAATGACTCGAATGAGGATGGTCTTGGCGAGAGGAAGAGTGTTTATTTCAGTTCGGTTCGATCCGCACTGATCCGAACCGAACTGAAATAAACCGAACCGAAAAAAAAAATGGTTAATTTTGATGATCCGAACCGAAACCGAAACCGAACCGAAATGCACTAAATTTTCGGTTCGGTTCGTATCTCGGTTCGGTTTTTCGGTTCGGTTCTGACACCCCTAAGATAAAGAACCTACTGATGTTCCTTACCAAAAAAAAAAAGAACCTACTGACGTGTAGAATTGCAAATCCGTACTTTATTGCGTTTTGCAATGATCGGTACCAGACATCGTACGTCATAAATTGGACAAAAAAATGTTTGCTAGTCTTGCATTCGGTTACACCGTCATCTTGTAACCATAGTAAAAGATGTTGAAATTTTATTTAATTCTACGATGTTAAAGAGATTTGTTGTAACAAAATGGGAAATAATGTATATGTGAATTTCTTTTTTATTTTATAATATTTCATTGTAATTGAATACTAAGCATTATAAAATCTAATTTTGCTTTCTCTTACCAGCCTTCCTTTATAACCATATGTAAGGTAAGTCAGTTGATCCCAAACTTTATAGAAGCATGAAGGGTCTCTATTATATTTAATTGCATCATGTCGAGACATACTATTCAGTGTTTGCATGTACGCTGGATTCCAATTAGATCCGAAGGAATCTCATTTAACTGTTGTTAAGAGGATTATCAAGTATGTTGGAATCCTTCCTAAATTAGGCTTATATTATCCTAAGAATTCAGATTTTATCCTCCTTGGATATTCTGATATTGACTTTGCGGGATGAAAGATTGACAAAAAGAGCATTTGAATTACATGTCAATCAATGGGTTGCATGTTTGTATCTTGGTTTTCTAAGAAGCAAAACTCCGTTGCTTTATCAACCGCCGAAGCTGAGCGCGTATCTCTTGGAAGTTGCTGTGCTCAACTCTTGTGGATGAAACATCAATTGAGTGATTTTGGTGAAAAAGATTATAATATACCTATCATGTGTGATAATACAAAGGCAATCAATTTGACTAAAAATCCCACAATGCATTCATGAGCAAAGCATATATAAATTAGACATTATTTCATCCGAGATCATGTAAATAATGATATCATGTAAGCATTTACTTTGTTGATCTGAAGCATCAATTAGCTAACATTTTCACCAAGCCTCTTGATAAGAGTACTTTCAAGCATATCTGAGGACAACTGGGAATCTGCAAACTGTTGGATTAAAGATTATCTCCTAAGTATATGTTGAACGTTAAACGAAGACTTGAATGTAAGCAGTTTTGGGCGGGAAATTGTTTTTCACTTGCTTTAATATGAGGTAGAGATCCGAGAATGCCTCCTTGGATGAATGAGGGAGCATAGCGTCTCGAATTCCACGGGACCAAATAGAGGAGCTGGAGGAGGGTGCGGCATAAGGGGCCGATTTTTTACTACACGCTAAACCGATTATAGGAGGTTTGCAATCCCAATTGATCACGCGAGTACCGTCCACCATGTTCTCGACCAGATTTCCAACCTCTAGAATTACGTCCACCAGAAAACCTCAAAATGAGGGAGTAGGCGAAGTGACATGACAGATCAAAGCATGATGAATATTGGATGAAGATGCGGCCCATTCGATTTTCGGAGAATTGCTCTTCTTGGATGAGAAGTCCAGACAACAGACTAGGCTCTAAGGCTAAACGAAAAAATATATAATAGAGGCAAATAAGGGTTCTGAAATTAAACTTAACACCTTGTACTTTGATACCGGGTTGAGTTTCCCTGATATATAAATTTAGGAATGATTAATTACAGTCACGGATTATATATAGAAGGCAAATAAGGTTTCCGAAAAATTTTGGAGTACCAGTGCGAGATGAATTGAAGTCAAAGCGCACCTCTTCCTTTCTCTGGCCCCCTTTCCGTCACCAAAGAAAATTTTCCTTGTTCTTTCTTTGGTTCCCACTGAAGCAAGAAAGGAATTTCCTTGTTCTTTCTTTGGTTCCCACTGAAGCAAGAAAGGAATCTAAAGAACGAAGCCGATGGGCGACCACCGCTATAATTTTCCTTCCCTCTTCCCTCTTCCCATCTCTCCAATTCATCTCTCCACGCACGCACGCTCTCACAATTCGCAAATCTTTATCCTTCTCAAGATGGGTCTCTCCCTCACTTAATCCCCCCCACGACCGTTTTCTTCTGTTACTTTCTTATACCCTATCTGTGATCAATCACACTGTAGTTTTCTTTTCGGGTGCTCTGTTTCTTCAAATGGGCGTTCCGGATTCGCTGTGGGTGGTCCTCGCGGTCGCTTGGCTATGCTTCCAAGCGCAGGTCCTGCACTCTCAAGAGGACCTCGTGTGCAATTCGAGCGATTCCAATGCATTGCTAGACTTGATGAGCAACTTTGAGTCCCCAATCGATGGTTGGGGACTCAACGGCTACGCTAATAATTGCTGCGACTGGCTGGGCGTGGTGTGCAACTCTTCGTCTTCTCTCGGCCTGAGCGACGGTCACTCCAGTTCGGGCAGAGTGGTGGAGTTGGTCCTCGCGAGCAAGAAGCTTGCGGGTAACCTCTCGGACTCGATCGGCAAGTTGGACCAGCTGAGATTCCTCAATCTCTCTCACAACCTCCTCAAGAGCACACTCCCGGAGTCGCTCCTCCACCTCCCTAATTTGCAGGTTCTCGATCTCAGCTACAATGAATTCTCGGGAGCGGTCCCCAAAGGCGCCAATTTGCCCTCGCTCCGCGCTTTCGACATCTCTGAGAACTCTTTCAGTGGGTCTCTGCCCGTGTGGATTTGCGCGAACTCGACCCGCATTCAGGTGCTTAATCTGGCTGTCAATTCTTTCTCTGACGTTATCCCGCCGGGTCTCGGCAATTGTAGCTCCTTGCAGAACCTTTCTCTGGCCACGAATAGTCTCACGGGTGGGATCAGTGAAGATATCTTCACTCTGGGTCGGTTAGTCCAATTGAGCCTTGAGGAGAACTCGTTTTCAGGGCCGCTTGGCAGCGGGATCGGTAATCTCACGGAACTGGTTCGGCTGGACATCTCGACAAACAGATTCTCAGGGTCACTCCCGGATGTGTTTCAGAACATGAAGAAGCTGCAGTACTTCATAGCTCAGACCAATGGCTTCGGGGGCTCCATCCCGTCTTCCTTGTCCAATTTGCCATCGCTTACGTTTCTCAATTTGAGGAACAACTCGCTGACCGGTATGATAGTTCTTAATTGTTCGGCAATGAGCCGTCTGGTGTCTCTGGATTTAGGTTCCAACAATTTCAGTGGTCCTGTCCCTGAGGATTTGCCCAATTGCCAGCAGCTGCAGAGTGTTAACCTTGCACGGAGCAAGTTCACAACCCCGATACCTCAAAGCTTCAAGAACTTCTCCAGCCTTGTTTACCTGTCGATATCGAATTCGAGCCTATCGAATATCTCATCTGCACTCGAGATCCTTCAGCACTGCAACAATCTGACAGTTTTGGTTCTCACTCTGAATTACTTTGATGAAGAATTGCCCGGCGATGCGAGTTTGAGTTTTCCAAAGCTTGAGGTTCTTGTCATGGCGAAGAGTCGACTGAAGGGTTCGATGCCCCAGTGGTTGCGCGGATGCACCCGTTTGCAGTTGCTGGATTTGTCCTGGAACAGTTTGGGTGGAACGATCCCGTCGTGGATCGGTGACTTCCAATCTCTCTTTTATCTGGACATATCGGAGAACTCGTTCGTGGGCGAGATCCCGAAAGAGATAACCGGATTGCCTGCCCTCATCCACAGGAATATGTCAATCTTGGAACCTTCTCTTGATTTTCCGCTCTTCTGGAAGAGGACTAAGCAGTCGGGGGTGCTGCAGTACAAACAACTTACAAGCTTGCCACCTCTTGTGGATCTCGGAGGCAACTCTCTCAACGGATCAATCTGGCCCGAGTTCGAGAATTTGAAAAATGTTCATATCTTGGTTCTCAGCAATAACTTCTTATCAGGTTCGATTCCTGACAGTTTATCCGAAATGACTAGCCTAGAGACTCTCAATCTGTCTTACAACAATCTGTCCGGAAGTATACCTTCCTCATTAGCGCGTCTCAGCTTTCTGTCTAGGTTCAGCGTTGCATATAACAACTTGTCCGGGCCGGTTCCTAGCGGGGGCCAATTCACGACCTTTCCCAATTCGAGTTTTATAGGAAACAACCTGTGTGGTGGTCATGCTCCCCCCTGCCCAACAAGTCCTGGATCCACCAATCATAGTGAAAATCATTCTGGATCTGCCGATCATGCTATGAGCGATAGAAACCTTGGAATGACCATTGGACTTGCATTCGGAATGGCCATTGGAATTGCATTGGGAACAACCAGGATCGGTAATTCGTGTTTGCGTGTCATAATTGGATTTTGTGATCGTTTTAAATCGTGTCATTAAAAAATTTGAAAAAAAAAAGGATAACTTACTCATGTATTGGTATTTTTTTTGATAAATTCCTAATATTGTTAGTAATTCACGGTCCAATTCTCTCAAAAATCACCAACTTTAGATTGATTTTCAATTCTGGCCAACAGTTTTTTTCTTATAAAAAATTACTAACTTCCGGGCCCGCCCCCGTACATGTTCCCTTTGACTTTTCGTCCAATGATAAAGGTCTGACATGTCAACTCCACATGTACATATCTCCATGTCACTTGCTGACGTGGATTTGAGGCAGTGAAGCGGGCACCGTTACGGTGTGCTTCGTTTTGTCTGGTTGAAGCCCCAGTCTCTCGTCCAGTTCCATTCTCGAAGAAGAAGATGCAATTTAGAATGTTCGCCGCCTTCAAGAGCTTCAGCAGGAAACTGCACGAAACTGCGCCTTTCTCCACGGGGAAGCAAAGCTAATTGTTGACTCCAGAAGAATCCAGTTTGTCCACGCGAACTCTTCATTGTCAAAGTCCGAATCCAAGTCGGACGCGGCCGCATGCTTCTTCACATTCCCAGTTCTCGATACGTTTGGCAGCCACCGAGTCGCGTGAATATTCGGGGCATCGCCGACCTGATTCTCTTCGTGAAAACGGAAATCACAATTTCAGCCAGAGAAAGAGCAAGTGGTGGATACCAAAAGATTGGAATCGGTCCCTATTGATTATGAAGCAACTGCTATACTTTAGCCATTGATGTAAGACAAGATGCAAGAACACCTTCACGGTGTTCTAATTTAGGCAGAGTGAAGGGTTGGCCGCTGAATGAATATTTTCTGAAGCTGCTGTGAACATTTCATATTTATATCCTAGATAGCATTCAGATTTCCTTCTTTCGTGTTACGTTCTACCTTTTTTTATTAGTTACGTTCATAGAGGAATTATAGCAAGAATCAAGCGTAGCCCAAATTTCAGTGCCGAACCTTGAACTCACATCTTATATTTTCATCAGATTTAGACGATAAAGATGAATGAGGTAAGGGTTAGCAATCACTATGGGCTAGATAGAATTGAAAGTGTGTATAGCAAGCAATTAGAACAACTCCAATGTGAACAGCATTGCAAGTCAATGTTCATATCCATAACTATAAAACATTGAACGACGAGTATTTTTAATTCTTGTGATACGGATAAATAATTCCATCATATATTTTTTTCATTACATTCTACCTTTTTCATTAATTACGTTCAAAGAGGAATTATAGCAAGAATCAAGCATAACCCAAATTTCATGTCGATTAGTGCTGAACCTTAAACTGACATCTTTCATTTTCGTCAGATTTAGACGATAAAGACGAATAAGGGTTAGCAATCACTCACGGTTGGATAGAATTAAAAGTGTGTTGCAGGCAATTAGAACAAACAAAGCTCCAATGTGAACAACATTGCAAGTCAATTTTCATAACCATACCTATAGTTCTTTGATATTGATCGACAACTATTTTTAAATCATGTGATACGGAAAATTAATTAATTCCGTCATCATTCTACCTTTTTCATTAATTATGGTCAAAGAGGAATTATAGCAAGAATCAAGCATAGCCCAAATTTCACGTCGATTAATTAGTGTTGAACCTTGAACTCACATCTTTTATTTTTGTTAGATTTAGATGATAAAGATGAATGAGATAAGGATTAGCAATCACTTGGGGTTGGATATAATTGAAAGTGTATATTGCAGGCAATTAGAACAAACAAAACTCCAATGTGAACAGCATTAAGAGTCAACGTTCACATCCATAACTTTAGTTCTTTGACAATATTGAACGACAACTATTTTTAATTCTTGTGATAGAGAAAATTATTCAATTGAGTAGTTCCGCCAAATCATCCCAGCCACCTACCCCAATATTCTTGGAAAGGGGGTTGGCTTAGATTTGCTGTAAATGCAGTACTTCGTTGACTTTTTAGCCCCGAAGAAAATAACAAGGTAAAGGCCTCCTTGACTGCAAACCGTTTATCATATAGTCAAACAGCTTTGTTTTTCTGAATTATTGTATAGACAAAGAACCTACTGATGATCCATATTTTATTGCATTTTGCAATGATCGGTACGAGACGTCGTCTAACGTCATAAATCAGAAAAAAAGAATTATGTTTTTCAGTCTTGCATTCGGTTACATCGTCATGCTGTAACCAAAGTAAAACATGTTGAAATTTTGTTTAATTCTACGATGTTAAAGAGATTTGTTGTAACAAAATGGGAAATAACATATATATGAATTACTTTTTTATAATATTTCATTGTAATTGAATAATGAGCATCATAAAATCTAATTTCGCTTTCTCTTACCGTCTTTCTTTGTAGCCAAATGTAATATGTCCAAAAAGAAAAAACAAAGTTTAATTAGATGATATACTGTTGTACCTGGGAAATACGATATATTCAATTGATAGATCGAAAGTCCGAATGCGTGCATGAAAATCTTCAACATAGTTCATGTACTTTCCGAGCATTCGCTCTCACTAGCTCTATTAGGCGCTTTTTCCAGAGTCAAACTACTTTACCCTCTTTGACATTTCTCTACAAGAAATGCCGTAAAGGTCGACTCAATGACAGCGAGAAAAATCAAATATATGTTTTCCTACCTATAAAGAATATTCCCAACCTAGGTCCTTGCGTGTTAGTTAGGCCTAAAAAACTATATAACAACAGAAATTCTTAATCTATACCTACGGTCTGTTAGTTGGTCATTTTATACTATAAAAAGATGATGCGTATATAACAAATTGAACAAAAGTATCCAAGCTGTTGGAAGAATGGTTATATGAAGACAATGTTAGATAGGCAATGTTCTCGAACGCAAAACCCTGAACCCTACTCGACGTTGGCTCGTTCCCTGAATGTGAAATTGTGAAAATCAAGCAGGTGAAATTTTATCTTTTAATTAATGTAATAAAGAATGGTTACAAACCCAAGCCTAGCCAAATTCAAAAAATTGGAGAGTTCAAAATCACCGGTTTACATAAAATTGGATATAACTCGTAAGGAATGACATTTGATTGCAATCGAGCCGAGACATAATCTATTTGGCATCTACACCCCTTATAATCAATCTTACATATTCACTAGTGTCATGACCTTGTAATTGTCGATGGCAGTCTCCTATAATCCTATCCAACTTTAAGGCCCATCTTTTTTACTCTGTAGATTAAGATCACATTAGACTGGCAGGTGGATCTATGAAAGAGATCATCAACAACCCCAGAGACATTACAATTTTTTTAAGAGGACTATTGAGACATTAGGTCGACTGATTTTTTGGACTTGAATAAAAGCAAAATGTACATTTTACTTTCCCGATGAAATTTAAAATATTCTTTGAATTTCTGAAATTATATAAAAAAAAAGATATACTCAAATCTACGTGTTAACATGTGAGTATTGTGGGAGTTTCAAGAATTTAGAGTTTAAAAGAAACGGCTAATATACGTGAATTGCGAGATTTGATTTAAGCAAAAAGTAAATATCAATGGTTTTAGACCAGCTTGGCCACGGTCTGAACTGAAAACAAGACATATGGTCCTAGTCCTGAGGCGTGCCGTTTACCAGATTGTCTGACCTCATCGATAGAAATCTGTCAATGGTGGAACCTTCTCCTGTTTTGCAGCTCTTCATCAGAAGGAATGGGACCGCGAGGGGGCTGCAGTACAATCAAGTCACAAGATTTCCACCCACTTTGGAACTTGGATGCAAGTCTTTCAACGCATCAAATCTGGGCCCAGTTAGGGAATTTGAAAAATGTCCATATCTTGCTTCTCAGGAATAACTTCTTATCTGGTTGGATTCCGGACAGTGACTAACTTAGAGACTCTCGATTTGTCTTACAACAGTCTGTCGGGAAGAATGCCTTCTTCGTTAGTGCGTCTCACCTTTCTGTCCAAGTTCAGCGTTGCACATAACAATTTGCCCGGGCCGATTCTCGGCCCTTCCCGATTCGAGTTTTGAAGGGACCAGACGGTGGTGGGATGATCATGCTCCCCCCCAACTGTCCACAAGCAATTCTTCAGCGTTTCAACCACACTTTGTGTCTCCATGTTTTTGGCTCCACATCTTCATGTTGCCGCACTATCTTATCTATGGGTGTTTACTCCTCCAAAATTGCACCTCAATCTCGCCTTCGAACAATCACAACCATCGTGCTCTGTCTCCTCGTCTACCTTATCCGCAAACAATTAAAAGCTCGACTGCCACTACACTCAAACTTTGCGCCCATCAAAACGGTTACATTCCTTGACATCATCCTGCTTAATTGATATGTTCCAATCGGTATCTTCACTTCATCCAATACTTAGCCAAATTTGTTGTGATTATAGTGGACCAATTGTTATCATATACTGATAGCTATAGTCATGGCCATCGATAAGCATGGCTATCAGCAAAAAAATTCCGTAGTCAGTAGCTCATCGTTAACCATACCAGACCTGATCTTGAGTTATTAGCTTACTCGAATCGGCATTGTCCATTATAAAGACTTGGTTATTTTTTGATTTAAACAACACCATTCGTAAATTTGGCAACTATCCTAAATCAATATTGCCTTGCTACCAGCCAAGCAATTGATCTAAACAAATCTGAAATCTACTTCAGCAGTGGTTGCCCACAAAGCCTAAGAAGGAATATGTCTCATAAGTTGGGAATAGGGAAATATATGGGTATACCTTCAAATTGGGCCAGATAAAGAAGCAAATGTTTGCCTAGATCTTTACAGGGGTAATAAGAAATCGGAAGGATGGAAAGAGAAGCCAGTAAGGAGATTCCGATTAAAACAGTTATGCAAGCCTTGCCTCAATATGCAATGTTTATATTCAAAATTTTAGTCTTGATTTGTAAAGCTATTGAGTAGAAAACCGCCTTCTTTTGGTGGAAATAGAGTTAATCCAGATTGGGTATGCACTAGAAGAAATGGGAGGTACTAAAGACTAAAAAAGATAATGGTGGATTCGACTTCAGTGACCCGTCTCTTTTAACAAAGCTATGTTGGGTAAGCAGGCATTAGGACTATTACGGTTCCTCTCAACTCTACGGAAAAAAATGGTTAAAAAAGGAATTTATTTTCCTACGAGTGACTTTTGGAAGGCAGGACAGGGGTCCCGTTCCTCTTGGAGGTGGCAAAGTATGATTACGGGTAGAAATGCTATCTCCTAGAAGTTAGATGGTCAGTGGGCGATGAAAATACCATACAAGTTCTTCCACAAATTGGACAACAAATTATTATGTAAAATGCTCCGCACAGAGCGCAGGTAAAGGAATAGTACTATCATAACAAAATGGTCATGCCGCATCCCTAACACACTACAATTGAAGTACATATACATGCCCTAATATATAACTTACAGTGTAGCTAATATGTTCGGCGCCTATCAATGAATATAATAACTCGAGTTTCTCCTGTCGTTCGTGATAACAGGAAAAAGAAAAAGGGAGATCGTTTTACGCAAGGATCTCTAGTAGAATCTCATGTGCGTGAATCGAAAACGGATCAAGTGAAATCCCATCAACTTTCAAGTTGATTATGATGACCAAAGAAGCAAACAAAAGAGAGGTATTGGTCTTGAACCTTGAACTCACGGCGTTTGCTTTGAGTCAGATTTGGACGACAGACTCACGGGTAATCGGGTCAAGTGTGTGATCATGCCACTCTTTTATCGCCATACGACAAGGAGTCGCAATCCCCATATTCAATTAGATTTTGAAGCATCGTTTGACTTTCACGTTTGATTTTGAATATTAGAAAAATCTGACGACGGGAATTTCTTTTGTTAAATAACTAGAAGTAATAAATCCACGTTCAAACCCAAATTGTCTCCAACCATACTACTTCCAATTGACGGAATCCAGTGGCAGGAACAGTAGAACTGCAAGGGATTGATTAGAAAAATGGCTCGGATTTGTCAATTTCCACTCACAATAGGTGGGAATTGGTCCGAATCTTTTCACCTTTAGACAAGGATATCCGAACATTTTATTCTATTGATTAACATGAATATATATATATGTATATACATAAAGATATGTTCATTAGAAGTCCTAAAACTTGTCGTGAAAGTGCAATTGAGTCATAAAATTTGCAAAAAGTGCAATCAAGTCCAAAAACTTGTCAATTTGGTTCAATTGAGTCCTAAAGTTAACATCGTCTAACTTACTAACGGAAAACACTGATATGGTGTTGACGTGGCTTATTTTAATATTTTTTTCTCTCCTAAGTGGTGATGATGTGACTATATTGTGAAACATAAGACTAAAACGACGTCGTTTTGGCCAAAATTTAATTTTTAATACTAATTTTATTTGTATTAAATTTAAAAATGAGCTAAATATTTTTTTTAAAAAGGGGGAGGAGAAGTCAATCCTCGTCGTCGCCGCCGCCGCCGCTTCCCCACCATCGCTGGGAGGGGCCGGCGTGGGTGGAGGAAGGTCGGGGGTCTCCAAGCCCCGGCCATGGGCTGACAACCCTCGCCCAAATCTGGATAATTTCATACGGTCTAGGGACTATATTAAACATTTACAAAAAATTCAGGAAACCATATTGAGTAAATTATAAGTTTAAGGATGAAATTGCACATTGAGCTAAAGTTCATGACCGCATTGAATAAATTAAAAGTTTATGGATGACATTGCACGTTGATCAAAATTTAGGGAGCAATTGTATAATAATCCCTAAAAAGAACGAAGTTAAAACGACTTCACCAAAAAGTAAAAGCCAAAATAATTAAATAAAAATAAAATTAACTAAATTACCCCAACCAACCCAACATCACAAAATTACGGCGGCCCCGTGTAGATTTTGTAAGAACCTGCTACGCGTCACCATCTAACCTTTGACTTCACTCTTTTTGTGAATCTCGATGCTCACCGGTTTCTCGCCAGTCACTCTTCTTCTTCTTCTTCGCAGAAAACTACATGATACAAATTAATTGCATAGTGTTTACTTAGGGCGCGTTTGGTAACACTTCTATTTCTCTATTTTTCTATTTTTCTGTTCCCTGGAACATAAAAAGAATAAAAATCTGTTTGGTAACGCATTTTAATTTTCTATTCCCAGAAATAAAAAGGTGGCCAAGAAATAGATTTGAAGCAGAAATAAGAAGTAGAAAATATCTACTTCTTTGTTCTCGGAAATAGAAATAGAAATAGAAAGGTAAAAAGGGTTATGTAAACCCTAAAATTTTTATTTCTTACCTCTTTTTCCTTTCGAGCAGCGTCTTCTTCGGCTCCTCCATCATCCGTCGTCTGCAGAGCACCGGCCACCACCCCCGTCACTCGCGGTAGAGGTGCAATTCCAGCCTTCCTTCTCGCTCCTCGAGGACCGGCGCGGCGTTCGTTCCCGGTTCGAGGGTCTCGAGCTCCCGATTACGTGCATTACGGTTCCATCCCCGCCTCGATTGGCCGGCGACGGACGTCCGTCGATCGGATTTAGCCCCCGCGGTTTCTGATGTCTGGCGGTTTCTGGCTATTCGTCTTTGCAGGTAGCACGACGCCGGGACTTACGACGCGAGGATGAAGACTGCCGGTCCGAACGGCTCGATTCGGAACAAGGAAGAGTACTGCCACGGTGCCAATGCTGGCTTGAAGATCGCTCTTGATTTCTGTGGTGAGTGCTCCCTGCTCTTTCTGAGCTACTTGCCTTTAGGTTTCTCTGCCTTCGCGGTGTTGATTCCTTTGGCAGAGCGGTGTCTACGCCTCTTCGACATCCGTGCCTGAAGTAGTTTCTGGAGTTCATCTATTCATGCATCGACGGCAGTTTGGAGGACGAGCATGCAATTGTAGGTTGTGATTGTGCGAGTCCCGTTGCATGCTCGTTTGATACTAAATATATGTAGGTGCATGGAGATTTGAGAGTCCAATTTCCATGGACGTATGTCTTCTAATACTTCAATTATAGCTTTCCTTCATTTGCTGCTGTGGGAGGAGTTGCTTTTGCTTATGTTTTGTGTCATTTGATGAGTAATGGTTGACTTAATCATCTTACGATGTTTAGTGCACACGTGCGGGGCGCGTCGTCTGTTATGTCGAAGACAGTTAACAAGTTTGTTAACATGATGCTATGTACTTACAAGTTCTTGAAGGGCCAAGCAGTGCGTTTGCAATTTTAGTTGGCTTAACGTTATACTCTGGACTTATCAACGGGATTTAATCTGCGTACTCTGATTTACTTTTGTTACTTGCCTGTAGCATAGTGTTAGGTTCATCTAACCAAATTTAGATATATTTCCAATATTCATCAGTATAGAATGCATGAAGATAGTTGTTGCTTTAGACATTGATACTTTCTTTAAAGAAATCCCTACAGTCTTCATAAAGTTGAGGTATATGTATTATCTTATGTTCAGTTTATGAGAGCATGCTTAAGATGGGTGGTTTAGTATTCAGTCTAATGCTTCCATGATTGTCGACCAAGGAAATTCTAAGACCTTTGCATATGTTTTACATGAGTTACCCTGTAGATATGTTATGATTATAAGAGTTTCAATTATACAACTGTACGAACCCATCATGGATAATGTCATAGCTTTGATGAATCAAGTTTTTTTGTGAATGGAGTTGAGATATAACTTCAGTCAGTATATTTACATTTGATTTTCTGTTGGATACAGAGGAGGTGAAGTCCAAGTGTCCAAAGATTACATACGTAGATCTATACCAGGTGAAAAGACTGTTTAAAGGATTTGTTCTTCCATCTTACATATTACGAGTCGCCTCTCCCAATAGGTGGACGAAATCTCTGTTGATATGACTAGCTTAGTTTGAAAGAGACTTCGAATTCTTGCCATTTAACTTTGAAGTTTTATTCCTTCCAGCATGCAACATCTTTAAAACTAATGTGCATGCACGTATGGAAGCCCTTAATTGGCATAACCCACATATTCTCCATATTCAGATGCTTTAAGAGCAAATCTTTATCTATCTTGTTTTCAATCCCCTGGGCATTTAGTTCTCAGTTGCTTGTAGGAAATCTCCTCTGTCTAGGTCAACTGGTATTGTTCTTGGTTGATTAGTGGTTGGATGATGTTATATATAGCTGATCGATTCTAGTGGTTACTATAAAAATGATTTATCAGTTTGCAAGTATTGATCATTATGAGCGAAATGCCTGTTTCAGCTAGCAGGAGTTGTTGCAGTAGAAGTCACTAGAGGTCCCACTGTCGACTTTGTTCCCGGAAGAAAGGTACTCTGTTTTAGCTATATGTGAGCAAGATAATTCTTACGAGTGCCTTATTCACTAAGTTTTTTTCTACCTGTAGGATTGAAAAGTTTCTCCAAACGAAGGAAGACTTCCAGATGCTAATCAAGGTATTCTGTTGTGTTAACTTTCCCTTTATTGTCTGGCCTCCCTTCATTTCCCTCCATCCCTCCCTCCAAATATTATGGGCCACTGTGCTTCTTATTGCTCCAGGCAAAACGTTAAATAGCTATTTATTGTTTTCCTTAAGGTTGCTGCCTGTTAATCTTGAAATGTATGTCCATCTCATCTGAATGTCAATTAGTAAGTTTCCAGGGGAATGATTTGAATGAGATAAGAAGCACAGTATATATGCTTCTCTTGTTGAGCATTTTCTTATGGGTGGGTTTGGGATGTGATTATGTTGTTGTTGGTGATCTTTCATTTTGATTAACTAAAACTGAAAAAAAAAGAAAAAAAAGAATGATATTTCTTGTGTATGGACGCTACATTATTCCTTGTCTCAATTGCACTTGGTTTGTTTGATTGGATTCTTCCTGTGAAGCATGATATTTCTTGTGTCTATTAGTCTTTTCTTGTGTGGTTTTTGGAGGAAAATAGAACAAAGAGGAAGGGTTATAGAGGACAAATTTGTTTGTGATGCTTGTTCTGTTCAACTCATCATATTAACTTTGCATTGATTAAATTGGTACTTGCTGCCTGTTGAGCTCAGGCACCTGCAGCTAAAGAAGTTTGTGGCAAAAGTAGCTGATAAGAAGGGGAAAACAGTTGAAGTGGAGAAGCAAGAGCAACTAGATCCTCTTGCTGGAAAACTACAGCTTAGGAAAAATATTGCAAATCAAATGGCAAGGAATCACAATATGCCTGAGATTCCATGACTTTATGTTTCTGACTTTTGTTATGTTGTTCATAAATATTTGGCAACATTTTGTTAATTAGCAGGTATTATTATTGTTGTATTTTTGAAATCCAAAGCCTGTGTAGCGTTTCAAACAGAGGTTTGGCAAGCTTTGACTATTTGGCAAAGCATGAGTTGATGGGATATTTTAGTACTAGGAGTATAGAGAATCTCATTGGAGTGTTGGCATTCAACTACATTTTTCTTGCTGCAAATGAAGACTACTCCTCCACCTACATGTTCAACTTTATTGGATGAAAACAAGATGTAAATATTTATATATATAAGTCACAATCAAATTTAAATTGATTTTGTAAACTTAATCATTATAAGAAAATGAAGGATTCATGTCTATATAAATCAATTTTCAAAGTTACTATGACTATTTAAGTGATTAATAAAGCGAATGGATCATATTCAAGCGCCCACTAAAATCGGCATCATCCACGTGTTATTATAATGTCGTATATGGAGTTTCGAATGTTCTTTATATATATAGTGGCAAAGAATTCTATGCATCATAGGAAAGAGTTCATAAAGAGAAAGAAATGTATAATCTTCTTAAGTGACAAAAATTAGTGACATCATCTGTTGTAAATTATAGCATTGTCAATGTTGACCTAGAGAGTTCTTCACATTCGTAGGATGAGTTCTTGTTTTGTTTATTTATTGGTAATAAAAACAACTAACACATGGTTAAGATGTAAGTATTCTTTTTTATCTTTTGGTAATTTAATATGAGAATAAATAGTATTTATAATAGCGGTTGTGAAGAAACTTTTGAAATAGATAAATATGGTATTCAGAATAATTGGTTGATTACGATAATTAATTATGGTATAAAAAGTAGTGTGAGTTAAAAAGGATTAGACAAACCAATAAACAATGCTTCTTGGTTTTTTTCATTTATAACTTGTACTTACACTTAAATAAAAGATATAAACTTAAATGAAAAAAATTGGAAATAGAAATTTTTTGGTTGTACCAAACGCATTTATGTTCTTTTTCTATTCCGGAATAGAAATTTTTCATAGATTACCAAACGCATTTGTTCTAAAAATAGTAAATTTTGTGCAGTTACCAAACGCCTTATTTTGCTCAGAAACTCTTCCAGAAAATAGAAATAGAAAAAATTATTTCTAAAAAGAAATTATTCCCGGAAATAGAAATGTTACCATACGCACCCTTACAGTCTTGACTCTTGAGTAATGTGTGAGTGACGCGCATTGAATTGAAGTGAAAGCGCACCTCACCCTTTCTCTAACCCATTTCTTTGACTTTTTAGCAAAAAAAAAACCCATTTCTTTGACTTTCACCCTATCCCCTACTTGCTTCTTCTTCTTTCTTTGGTTCCCAATGAAGCAAGAAAGCCACACAAAAAAAAAAAAAACGAAGCCGATGTGGTACCACCACTTTGATCTCCTCTCCTCTCCTCTTCCGTCTTCCCCTCTCTCCAGTTTCCCTCTCCCCATGCTCGCATGCTCTCACACTTCGCTAATCTTGATCCTTCTCAAGATGGGTCTCTCCCTCACTTGATCTCCCCACGACCCTTTTCCTCCGCTACTTTCTCATACCGTTTCTGCGATCAATCATAGTGGGGGTTCTCTTTTTGGGTGCTCTGTTTCTTGATATGGGCGTCGTTCGAGATTCGCTATGGGTGGTCCTCGCCGTCTCTTGGCTGTGCCTCCAACCGCAGGTCCTGCACTCTCAGCAGGACCTTGTATGCAATTCCAGCGATTCCAAAGCGTTGCAGGACTTGATGAGCAACTTTGAGTCCCCGATTGACGGTTGGGGACTCAATGCGTCTGCCAATTGCTGCGACTGGCAGGGCGTGGTGTGCGACTCTTCGTCTTCTCTCGGCCTGAGCGGCGGCGGTTCCTCTAGTTCGGGCAGAGTGGTGGAGTTGGTCCTCGCGAGCAAGAAGCTCGCGGGCAGCCTCCCGGACTCGCTCGGCAAGTTGGACCAGCTCAGGCTCCTCAATCTCTCTCACAACCTCCTCGGGAGGACACTCCCCGAGTCGCTCTTCCACCTCCCTAATTTGCAGGTCCTCGATCTCAGCTACAATGAATTCTCCGGACTGGTGCCCGAGAGCGTCAATCTGCCCTCGCTCCGCGTTTTCAACATCTCTGAGAACTCTTTCAATGGGTCTCTGCCCGTGTGGATTTGCGCGAACTCGACCCGCATTCAGGTGCTTAATCTGGCTGTCAATTATTTCTCTGACGTTATCCCGCCGGGACTCGGCAATTGTGGCTCCCTGCAGAACCTTTCTCTGGCCACGAATAGTCTCACGGGTGCGATCAGTGAAGATATCTTCACTCTGGGTCAGTTGGTCCAATTGAACCTTCAGGGAAACTCGTTTTCAGGGCCGCTTGGCAACGGGATCGGTAATCTCACGGAACTGATTTGGCTGGACATTTCGATAAACAGATTCTTGGGGCCAATACCGGATGTGTTTCAGAACATGAAGAAGCTGCAGTACTTCATAGCTCATACCAATGGCTTCTCGGGCTCCATACCATCTTCCTTGTCCAATTCGCCATCGCTTACGTTTCTCAATTTGAGGAACAACTCGCTGACCGGTATGATAGTTCTCAATTGTTCGGCATTGAGCAGCCTGGTGTCTCTGGATTTAGGTTCCAACAATTTCAGTGGTCCTGTCCCTGAGGATTTGCCCAATTGCCAGAAGCTCCAGAGTGTGAACCTATCACGGAACAAGTTCACAACCCCGATTCCTCAAAGCTTCAAGAACTTCTCCAGCCTTGTTTACCTGTCGATCTCAAATTCAAGCCTATCGAACCTCTCTTCTGCACTCGGGATCCTTCAGCACTGCAACAATTTGACAGTTTTGCTCCTCACTCTGAATTACTTCGACGAGGGTTTACCAGGCGATGCGAGTTTGAGTTTTCCGAAGCTTAAGGTTCTTATAATCGCAAATGGTCGACTGACGGGTTCCATGCCCCAGTGGGTGAGTGGATGCACCCGTCTGCAGTTGCTGGATTTGTCCTGGAACAGATTGGGTGGAATGATCCCTTCGTGGATCGGCGACCTCTGATCTCTCTTTTATCTGGACTTATCAAACAACTCGTTCGTGGGCGAGATCCCAATAGAGATTACCAGATTGTCTGGCCTCATCCAGAGAAACCTGTCAATGGTGGAACCTTATCCTGATATGCAGCTCTTCATCAGGAAGAATGGGAGCGCGAGGGGCCTGCAGTACAATCGAGTTATAAGCTTTCCACCTACTTTGGATCTGGGAAGGAATAATCTCAACGGATCAATCTGGCCCGAGTTCGGGAATTTGAAAAATGTCCATATCTTGGATCTCAGGAATAACTTATTATCTGGTTCGATTCCCGACAGTTTATCCGGAATGACTAGCCTAGAGACTCTCGATTTATCTTACAACAATCTGTCGGGAAGTATACCTTCTTCACTAGTGCGTCTCACCTTTCTGTCCAAGTTCGGCGTTGCATATAACAATTTGTCCGGGCCGATTCCTGATGGGGGCCGATTCCTGATGGGGGCCAATTCGAGTTTTGAAGGAACCAAACTGTGGTGGGGTTATCAAGCTCCCCCCTCCCCAGTGAGCCAAAATCATCCTGGACCTGCCCATCTTGCCATGACAGATAGAAACATCGGAATGACCATTGGAATTGCGTTCGGAATGGGCATTGGAATTGCATTGGGAGCAACTAGGATTGGTAATTCGTGTTCGCGTTTGATAATCAAATTTTGTAATCGTGTCATGTCGCGCCATTGAAAAACGCTATGTTTTTGTTCATTATGCTATAAGACTTAATATGGTCAAATGACCCGGGCCAAGCAACGGCTAAAAGTGGGTTACGAGACCTCCATCATCGCCTCATCGGGATCGCGCGACCCCTGGTCATATTTGCCTGGGTTTAGCAATCCAGGCTAGATCTGACCTGGCTTGGATGGCGCGAACATGATCATGCATTTCTTGGGGTCGCCTAACCCCAAGCCAGATCTGGTCTTGGTTGGGGTCGCGTTACCTCAACCAACATCGCTTGGGGCCGCACGACCTTCGTTAGGCTTTGCCTGGGGTTGCCCAACCCTACCATCTCCAT